TACTGTGCAATTTAAATTAGAAACTTGTGTATGCTGCTGAGTCAGTCCCCACTACTGTGCAATTTAAATGAATATTTCTATGACAGATAGTCTTCAATTGTTAGATTAATTAATCTAACAATGTGTCTCACTGCTGCTCTGTGTTTGAACTTTTTGTATTTTATTACATGTGAAATAAAATATTTTAAATTGACAAAAACTTTTTGTAATCTATTAATTGTACCATCTTGGTTTTATTCATATTTGATACCATAATAAATAAATAATTGTATATATGTTAATCAATATCATTACCTTTTAGCCGTATAACTTATGATTTTTCACAGAAAATCGACACGTTCGGTTTTCTAGACTTGCTGTCAGAGTGTTGCTACTTGCTGTCAGAGGCAAATTGCCAAATTCGTTGCCTGAGCTTGAGACACTCCACCCGTCGTGCATAAATCGTACGCTGTGGCTCCTCGACCGGACACATCTCGCAGAGGGAAGGGAAGAGAGGCTACTAAAATTACTAGTATAAGTACCACCGCTTAGTGTACTCTGTACTGTTTAAACTAGTTTTACTAGTTTTATTACTGGTAGTGCCAGTTGTACACAATTAATAGTAGAACAACAAATGTTTTGATAGTTATCTGATAAAACAACAAATTGACTTGGCAGCACCACCGGCGTCCACCGCCCTAGTGACTAGCATGCTGCGTGCGAGGGAAGCTCCTTGTTGATTGGTCCATCCTGTTAACCGGTCGTTTAGCCACGGAACATTGGCGACCGGTTACCGGTCGAGGAGCCACAACCTAAATCGTAATCTTGATTAGCCTAAATTATATCATTACCTAGTTCTTACACTAATCTAGCCACAAGTTACCTTCTCGCTTATCACTACTTCCCGAGAAGATCGTACGACGTGAAACAGTTGTAGAGCCTGGCTGGGCTAACCCTATCCCTAACCCTAACCCTAAACCAATTATTCAAAACTCGGCCCAAGCCTAATTTAGCACCTTTGATTAGTGTAGTACATGTGCGAAAACATTGCCGGGGTTCCAAACTGTCCTTTGTTGATCCCCAAACTGCTCCTAGAACCCAACGCCAATTATACGCCAATGAAATCCTGCAATAGGCAGGAATTAGAAGTAGCTAGATTTGTCTATTGAATATCAGGGTGCTCCCCATTTCAAAAAGGCAGTCAGGCAATTCATCCCTTAGAGTCAACTATGCTATAGCGGGGCTATAGAGTTATATTTTGTTATTGTTTGTGCACAGCGGAATGCATGCAGTGTACTTGAGTGTTGCAGAGGAGCATTTGAATAGCATTTACAGGAAATTATCAGTAATAATAGGCGAAAGAGAGTAGAGAAACATTAAGACTTTGGTAGTAAATTGTTTGGTGTTTACTATAACTATCACTTTAGTATTGAAACGTTCCAAGTGCCTGTGGTCATAACTGGCATCAATACATAGGTAACCTCAATCAGTTCGGATTTGTAAACATCAAGCTGGGAAGACGTATATATTTTTGTTCCAGATCTACAACAAAGCCAAAGACCGTTCATACTATGCTGAACTAGACAGACATGTTCAAGGATTGGTTAAAGTCCCGGTGGTCTTTGGTACAGAGAAAATCGGATTGGAGATGCTTCAGAAATCGGTTAACCTTCTTAGCCAGGTATGAAGGTGCAGTGCTAAATTTAATTTTCTCACAGTTCCAAATTGACCATATAAGTACAACTATGCATGTATTCTGCAAAAGTGTGATTATTCAGATTTTCTGCATCAGGTTGTTGGTTAATGTCTACTTAGGTAGAGCTGCCTGGTGCAAATCCAGCTACCTTCTTTCGTATCCTAGTTGAAACATCAAAATGTTTGATAAAAAACATCCAAATTTGAAAAGTCCATAATAGTAAATTCTCATTTTGTAGTGTACGCTTATGGTAGTCATGGTAAATATCAAGTATGGTGGGTACTCAGTTATAAATTTATAGGACTGAGTAAGCCCTCCGCTCCTCCTGCGCTCTGCGGCAGTAGTTCTAGAGCTAGGACTGAGCCGAGTTAGCTTGCAGGGATCGAACTTGACGACGGCAACTGACGGCATTTGCCGCTGGAACATATTGATTTGCCGTCGGAGGCCGTCTGTATCGGCGGCAAGTAAATATGCCAATATGCCGTCGTAGCACTTAGTACCTGTCGTAAGAATAGTCCATAAATAATTGTTACGATTGGTCGTAAGAATAGCCACGGCATATAATTTAACACAAACAACAACGGCAAGTGCTATTGCAACATATCGGTGTTGGATTCTTTGTGAAATAAATTCATTCTTATATTTTTCTGCGACGTTCTTGTTCTTATTTCGGATTTCCCTCAGATGAGATATGAGAAACCATAGAACCGTATGGTGCTGCCACTGCCGCTGTTGTCACTGTATGGTGCTGCCACCACCGCTGATTTCGTTCAGTGTGGAGTTTGTTTACAGATCGCTTAGCAACGTGATTCACAGATGTGACAGATCATTTCATGCATTTTCTTGTCGTTTTGTGAACTTTCTTCTGTTTATTCTCGTGGTAAACATTAAATATATGCACAATGTCGAAATCGAAGGGGAAAAGGAAGTTGCCAGAGCTAGTTTCGACTCAGAGGAACACTTTGTTTGGCCCAGCAAAAGTTACGAAACCTACACCACCACCGGCAGTATTAAACATTCCTGATCCTCATGTAACTCCTGTTCAGCAGGCTGCTGTGCCTGTCGATGCCAATAATGTCAATCATTCCACCGGAGGATTCTGTACCAGTTGTTGTGATTGCCAAAAAAACTTATCGTGTTCGTGCTAGTACTGTGAAAAACTGGAAATTGAATTATATCGAAATAGAGGAGAAAGACGGGTATGTCGATACCATGTGGTGTCAGGTATGTCGGGCACATCCTGATAAGGCGAAATCAGGAAGAGGGCACCGGCAGGCCAACGCATCAACTGCATTTATCACAGGGACAATGGCAATAAAAAAGGTTAATGCGGTTGATCATGGCAACTTTGTTGGCCATCAAAATGCCGTAAGATATCAGCATGATCTCAACGTAGCGGCAAACACTCCATTTGTGGAACGTCCAATTGTGAGGGCCATGTCCCATCTAGACGAGATAACACTAACAGACTCACGAATGATGAAATTATTCGACGTCGCATACACGATAGGAATTACTGAGGTGCCGTTCACTCACTACCCAACATTACTCCAATTGCAGTCAAAATCCGGTGTAGATGTTAGGTACACATATGGTAGTGATAAACAATGTGCGAACTTTATTGGTGAGATTGGCGATTACATCTTCAAAACGAATTTGTCAGCAGCAATTGGAAAATCAACAAAATACTTCGCCATATCCTTCGATGGGACTACAGATGCTGCATGCCATGAAAAGGAAGCAACACTACTTCGATACGTCGATGATGATGGTACAATCCAATCCAAGCTATTCAGGTAATTATTATATTTTCACTAAGAATCAGTTATAATTTATTAGATAAATTTACATT